TTATGGTTGCCTCAGAAGGTCACTCATACTTCAACTACTGCAGTATGTCACTACTTTATAAATGAGAGTGATATCAGCAAATAAAATACGTGCCTTATCCTTCCCTGGCACTGGTTTTCTAATCCGAGGTGCAAGGTGTGATGTTAGGCTTAAATTTAAAGGACCTGGGTGACTAAAGATGGCTATGAGGAGTACAAGACAAAAGGACAGAAGCATCAAGCCCTGGACCCTTAATTAACAAAACACAAATGGACTGAATTTCACAGGGTTGGGGCATTTTGGTGCTGAATAGTAGTAGTAACTCTGGAACTGCTAAACACAAATAGTGTACAACTTTGGCCATTATATTAAAAAAAACCCCACTTTTCAGAATTTCTCTTTTAGAGAAGGTCAAAATTAATGAATCCTGTCAAGGTATGTTAAACTAAAATCTTCATATACTTTCAAGGTATGTCATTACGTATTTCCCAATTCATAAGTCAAAACTTGGAAATTAAAATAGTGTGTCTTTATTGATAGTCTGCCACAAATTAATGCATAAACTTAGTTAGCCAAAAATGTATCTGCCATCTGAACATGGCAAGCATATCTGCAAAAAGTGGATGCTTTCTTCTAGTAGACAATCAGATGTTCTGTTACCAGCTCTCACTATAGTGCCGAATGCAATTAAAGAATTGTTTTACACAAGCTGCCTGACGCTCAGCAGAATCACTGTCTCTTCATTATTGCAAGGACACAGAGATGTATACTTTAATGTTAAGCCTTCACTGACATTAGTGGGACTCATTTGTCTCTCAGGTGAGCTTGAACACCATGTTTGCAGGATTAGAGTTTATGACTACAAAAGCAGTGACAAGGGGGACAAGAACAGACGCACTACAAAAGGCATTCCAACAATTCAATGCATCCATCTTACTGAAGGAAATCATATCTTTACATACCACTGAATGTTAAAAACAAACAAAGAAGTTTAAGCACAAAGTATATATTTATAACAAATAAAACAACTGAAAAAGTATTACATAAAGAAAAAATAATGTAACAGAATGTACTTAAGTACCTAGCTTACAGTCATGCTCGTATCTAAAAATAACATTGGTAAGTAATATATATAATTTTGGACATAATTCTCTAACATACGACATGATTCTGTGATTCTAAATGTGGAGAGTACTTTTTCCAAGATACAGAACACAAATTATTTTACACAGGCACACCTGTTAATTTGTATAAAAAACATGCTTGTAAGTGAAAAGGTCACTGTAGTACTAATTTACCATGTAGTGTTAATCATGTTGAAATCGTCTCTTCTCCTTTTGCATTGGTGAGCGCCAACACTGAATGGTACAATATTTGATCCATGTGGTTTACTGACACTGCAACCTGTTTCCAAGCAGTAGCCCTGCCCGGGTGTTAACAGCACAGTACTGTACAGCCCCATCTGTCTGCATATAGTGTATTTATAACTAAAAGCTATTACAATTATTACAATGATTTCTGTTTCAATATATACAACAGTATAAAATACTACCCAAAAAACTTTTGTATTTCAAACAATTTTAACCACTTCATCAAAACAATGCATTTGCAGAATTAAAAAAAAAAATAACCCAAATTAATGCTGATTGCCAACAGTACAGCATCTCTATGGTATGTTTCCTAATAAATGAGAGAACGGAAGTGTCTTATAATCAATTAAAATAAGTATCACAAAACATAATTAATGTTAGAGCAGTTCAAGGATTCCCAGTTTGTCAGTATCTACCCTAAGCAGTGCTACTCAAATACAGTATAAGCCATTTAGTGTTTCTACGATGAGAATAAAACATTCAAATATTAAAGCTGCGACAAACACACAAAAGCAAGGAAAGAAAATTTGTTCTGTACTCATTTCTGTTGGAGCAAGGTACAGCATGTCAGGAGTTTGCACTCGGTGCATCATATCTGGTTGTGTGTACAGACTGAGGAATGAGAGGCTGGAGAGCAGTGCTGCAGAAAGGGACTGGGGTGTCCTGGTCCATGGCAAGTTGAACATGAGTCAGCAGTGCCTGGCTGCCAGGAGGGCCAAGTGTGTCCTGGGGGGGGGGGCATCAGGCAAAGCATTGCCAGCTGGTCGAGGGAGGGGATTGTCCCGCTCTGCTCTGCACTGGGGAGGGCCTCACCTTCAATACTGTTTGCAGTTTTGGGCACCACAATATAAAACAGATATTAAGCTCTTAGAGAGCAAGGGCCACAAGGATGGTGAAGGGACTGGAGGAGAAGCCTTATGAGGAATGGCTGAGGTCACTTGGTTTGTTCAGCTTGGAGAAGAGGAGACTGAGGAGAGACCTCATTATAGTCTTCAACATCCTCATGAGGGGAAGTAGAGAGACAGGTACTGATCTCCTCACTCTCATGACCAGTGACAGAACCCAAAGGCCTGAAGTTGTGTCAGGGGAGGTTTAGGTTAGATATCAGGAAAAGTTTCTTCATGCACAGGCTTCCCAAGGAAGTGGTCACAGCATCAAGCCTGTCTGAGTTCAAGAAGCATTTGGACAATGCTCTCAGGCATATGATGTGATTTTTGGGGTGTCCTGTGCAGGGCCAAGAGTTGGACTTCATGATCTTGATGGGTCCCTTCCTACTCAGTATACTCAGTATATATGGTTCTGTATGAGCTACGATACCTGGATACAACTGTGGAAGACAATTGAAATGGAATCAACTCTGACTTTCCTTGCTGTTGTGGTTTTATGTCAGACCATTCAAGTTATAACAACTTAGTGTCCTTTTTTTTCCTCTCCTGAAGGGAGTGAGAGAGAAGAATTCATAATAAAGTTGCAAAAATGCTACTAAAATCCCTATCTTGGACACAATACACTGCTTTAGGAGCTACTGTGTCATTGCACAATATAAGTGGCCTATTTATCGCTGAAGTATTGGTGTAGCAGAATATATTTGTCATTGTGGATGTGTTTAAAAATTAGTATTTTAAAACTTGCTTGTATCCCATAACAAGCCACAAAATTTTGTGTTTTTCAAACACTAATATCCTTACGTAAAATAGTAAGTTTACATTTATAGTGGCAAATTTCAAATCTCTGCCTCTGCTGCTCCAGTTTTTAAAATGAACTTGGTTCAGAGTTTTCGTTCTTTACATCATCCTAAAACAGAACTATTTCTGAAGCATAAAAAAAAAAATCCAAACGGCAGTGATAATATCTGGGGTTTTTTTTTCTCTGTTTTGCTGATTCATTCCTAACTTGAAAAACAATCAATGTCTTAAAAAGCAAAACAATAAAACCCCAAAAATCTCTCCTCAGGAATAGTCCCTGCTAAAGTGAGATTTTTTTTTCAAAACCAAGTTACATGCCTAGAGTATCTTTATAGTCATGTTATACACCCTTGAAAATAAAGGCTCATGTTGAGAATGGTGACAGGCCCTTAATTATAGAGGTGTTAACTGGTGACACTTTTTCATCAGAAAAAGCCCAAAAGCCCCACAAAAATTCATAGCTTATATTGAAAGTTTGATTCATGCTCATTTTGTTCATTTAAAAATACTCTTTGGAAACTTGTGTCAACTCCTGCAGACAACTTAGTGATACATCTTTTCCTGTTAAAATAAAGATAATTCATATTCACCTCTACCCCATGCTAAGCTCTACTACTAATATACAATTCATTACCTGCTCATGTCACCATCTAACACATATCTTTACATTCTTCTACATATAGCGTCCAGGGCTTATTTTTCACCAAATAATTTGATAACTAAATAATTTCACCAAAGAATTTGATAACTATTACACTTAGAAGTTTTAATTGAGGATTTTTTGGTGTTCTAGCCTTTTCATTGCAACGCACAGTGACATTAATGGTTCAGACTTTTTGTCCATGCTAACTTGAAATTTTTCACCAATTTTTTCCCATTAAGGATTTTAAAATCTAAACTCAGAGATCAAAACTGAAAACCAGAAGAGAGATTAGATGCATGTAATTTTAAAATGGTTTCTGCTACTTTAAAATGCATTTAAAAATTGTACATACAACACAGTATTTTAACTTTTACATTGCTGTTATCAGATTCTAATTCAAAATCTTGCAAATATACACGAAAAATAAGCCACTGGTCATAAATTCTAATGATTACATTCAAAACTAGCCTTTAAAAAAATAAAAAAGTTACAGGCAAAACATACTGATTTATGTACTCACTAGCTTATCAGGCTACAATAGGCATGTTTTAAGTATAAAAAAGCAGACAATTCAGATTTAAATAAGACTGTGTGAAATCAGAAAAACCCCTTAGATTTCACTATTAAAAAAAAACCAAGAACACCTATAATTACTTCCCATCCTACAGCTACAGTTAAACCAACTAACAAAAATAATCAAAGTATTGATGACAAACAAAAGTTAGGCTAGAGTATGTGGCAACAATCAAAGTTCATATACGTTTCTATGTAAAATGACTCATGATTTACTATAACATATGAAGAAGAGCACTTCGTGACTAATGAAAGAGCTACTAGTAGAAACACTTAATGCCAAACAGTCTTCAGCCCTCCTTTAAGTTGTATCTCCAAATCAGTATTGACTTCTTTTGACCAGATACATCATTTTTGGCTTGTCACCCGAGTATGTCATGTTTTACCACTTGTCACAGGCAGCAGTAGACAACTAGCTAAGCAAACTACAAGCAGTGACATGCAGAAATTAACTCTCAAATCTGAGTACTTAGATAAAATGATATGCAAGCGCACACTAGGACAGAAGGAATGGCATTCGTCATCCAAATAGGCTCATCATCCCTCCCCACCCCCCTTGAACAGTAGTTGCAACAGCAATAGAAAAAAATCAAGATGTCTGTTCTTCAGAGTCAACTGTGGAAAAAAGTCAGCAATATATAACAGCAGCGATGGACAAGGAAGAGCAAACTGAAAGAATCTTGTTGAATATTTGTTCATTTACTTTTTCTGAACACAAGCCAAAGTGTGCCACACTGGCTTGTTCTGAACTTCAGATACAGATGTCCTAATCTCCTTAGATCCTTCACAGATTTAGAATTCAGTCTCCCTGAGGCCCCTATAACCAAGTAAGAAAACTCTCTTTATCTAGCTTGGTGGCTGCCAAGACAGATTCCATGTCATTAAGGATGTCAGAGCTCAAAGCCTCTTGCAGACTTGGCATCAGTTCTTCTCCTTCTATATTCATCCCATCTCCTTCCAGTGTCCCAAGGTCCACATTTGTCCCTGGAATGGCTTCAAGGTAGTCTGGGAAACGGTTCTGATGGGATGGTATGTTACTTTGGCCGATACTGTCACCTAGTTATAACACAAAGTAAGATGGATATTAAATATACTGGAAGTACCAAACCTATAATTTAACAGGACAACTGGTTAAAGGTTAATCATGTATCTCTTGCATTATACAAACAATGTGATTCACAAAAATCCATCACAAACCCCAAAGGTAACTTGAATGCACGCAGATGTACAAAGAACATGTCTTTGTTTCAAATTTTCATCTGCGCAACCCAAATCTCTACAGATCTTTGATGTCATTTAGCATAATTTGATTTTTACACTTAAAGGAAAAAGACAATACTGAATCAAATACAGTTTTGGAGTAGTATTAACAACACTGGAGGAGATATTATTCTTAGCTCTGAACAAAAAATATACTTTAAAAAGCAAATTCCTTATAACACACTCAAATTCCTTATAACAACAAGAGTGATACTGTTTATGAGCAATCTCCCATCCTTCCAATACAGTTGATTATCAATACGTTTTTTACAAATCTAACCATAACATTTCTATTACAGAAATAGGGAAAACAGAAAAAACAGAAAAAGGTAAAAAAACAATGCAAAAAGTATCACAGCTTCTCAGAGTTAACTGTTTTCATTGCAAATGGATACAAGTATATTAGGAAAACATGCATTAAAAATGAACACAAAACCAGACCTGTATCCATCTCATCAACACTGTTCAGGAAGTCATCTGGGGTTCTGGGTACACTGTAACTGCTCATGCTAAGTCCACTATCTGTGCTTTCATCTCTGGAGTGATATGTTCCACTGCAACAGAAGAAAGAAAAAAAATGAGGGTTTTTGAAGAAAAACAGAGGATTATAGAAGAAAATAAAATAGATGCTTGTTTTCAACCAATTCAAGAGCTTTGGAAACATTGCTGTCCTGAGAAATGCTCTGCTGTGATAAAAAAACTGAAGCCTTTGTCTGGGTGGGACACCTGGGTTGTACTTTATGCAGACCTTTTCCAATTAAAACCATATTATTTAGATTCAATTTAACTTGATGAGAGCATATTCAAGCAGCTTTAAGAAACTGCCTACTTGTGTTCTGCATAATTTTAATATTTTCACACCCACCCACCCACAGCTAAAACCATTGGAAGCATATGAGATAGTCTGTAATGATTATAAAAATAATAATAATGATGGTTCATCCTTTCAGGCTTCCATAAGGATAACAAAAAAATATTTCTAACTACTAATGTCCTCATGTTTAATCAACCACTGAAGTATATTTTTAGGTCACTGCTGTTATAAATAGTTGGGACTCCTTTAGCTATTCTTCAATTGCTTCCCACTGCTGCATTACTACTTGTTCAGTCACACGTCAAGGCAACAGAGTGCCCTAATATAAATCAAATACTAGTACAGAAGCTGTCCTGTAAACAAACCCCGCTCAGAATGATCCTGTTGACAGAACGGTTAACCAAACTAATGGCATAGGGCCTTACATGCACTCACTTTCTTACTGCCATCTTACTGCCAGCGCAGAGAGCAAAACCAAGAAAGCCACAGTGGGAAATCTGGGATGGGGTGGGGAAGCTGGCCAGTGTATTGAGTTTACATAGCAAGGTTTTGGTAGCAAGGGGTCTGCAGGGATGTACCCTGTGAGAAGGCACCAGGAGCTGATCTGACGTCTGACCCAGCTGGTTCCAGCTGGCTCCAAAGTGGTCCAACTGCCCAAAGCTGAGCCCATCAGTGACATTGGTGGTACCTTTGTGATAACATATTTTTTTAAAAAAAGAGTAAAAATGATGAACAGATGGGAGAGAGGAGAGGAGTGAGAATATGTGAGAGAAACAGCCCTGCAGGCACCAAGGTCAGTGCAGAAGAAGGGGGAGCAGGTGCTCCAGATGCCAGAGCAGAGATTTCCCCTGCAGCCCAAGGTGCAGACCATGGTGAAGCAGCTGTGCTCCTGCAGCCCATGGAGATAACATGATGGAGCAGAGATCCACCTGCAGCCCCTGGAGGACCCTGTGTTGGAGCAGGGGGGCATGCCTTGAAGGAAGCTGTAGTCCATGGAGAGGCCAAGTTAGAGCAGGCTCCTGGCAAGAGCTCCAGCCTGTGGAAAGGAGCCCATGCCAGAGGAGGTCTGATGGCGGGAGCAGTGGCCTGCATAAGCAGTTGCGGGAGCACACTACTACCTCCCTTCCCCTGCATTTCCTAATATCCAGTCTTTTCACAAAATATTTTCAAAATCTGTATTTCTTCAGGTTGTGGTAGCATTCGCTGAGAATCCTTACTGATTTTCCAGCCTGCATACTAAATGAAGATTAACTTGATTTACTGTTCAAATTAGCATCTGAAGACATATTGATACTTCTCATAATGTGCTTGTGAAGTATATAGTATATGTCTTTTTATTAAGAATGAAGAACCAAAATGGTGATGAAAAGCTATTCAACATTGGATGACATAAGACATATATATGTATTACATTTCATGAGGACATCTTTACCATACGAGAAAGGAACCTAACATTTCTTTACAGTTAAATCATAAATATTTCTCTTTTTTTAGATTGATTTAAGAATAGAATCACCACACATTTGACACAATCCTAATAAATAAACTATTTAAAACTTCTGTGAAAAAAGATACTGGTTTACTTTATGGGACAAAATACTAAAAACAGAACTGAGGCAATGCTGAACTAAATCACTTTAGTGGAGAAGGCTTTTTGGCTGCTGCTCTCACACTTGGAATGTCCAGCACTTCTCTTCAAATCACTCCTTAATATACATTTCCTCTTTCTTCCACAAGGATTTCTTCATTTAGTAGTCATACCACCCAAAATTACCACATTGAACTAAACAGCATTACCCAAAATAGAGTGGATTCTTCTTCAACTAATAACTATTAAAATATGTGTATACAAAAGAAGAAATACCAGTTTAGGAGTTAAACAGAAAATTACCATCACTACCAATATAAATCTAGTAGACAAAAATATATGAACAGCGTGGTAAATCTAAAAGTGAAATAGTCTAATAAAATCTGCACTGTTGAATGACCCATTCAAAAAAATCAAATATGCCACAATGACAGGAAGTACTGAAGATAGCAGGCAGAAGATTAGACTATGTACATGAAAACACTACTGCATTTTTTCTCAAATTGCTCCAGTGTACTCATCATTTTCTGAGATATTTTTTTTTTAATGTTTCTATTATACAAGCAGTGGACTACCTAAACTTTGGATATCCAAATTCAGGGCCTAAAACTAGGATCTAGGCCTAAAATTAGTTCACCAGGAACTTTATATACAGCCTATAAAGACAGAACGAAGTATTTCCCTAAGTCTGAACTTTAACATAAGGAATATCAACAAGAACTTTAGAGCAAAACTATTGGACTGCTGTATCTAATTCAGAACAGCAAAGCATTTTCACAAATGTCCTTTCTTATAAATCCCTTTCCCATACCCATATGATAGAATTAAATGAGGTGATGCACATAAAATAACCTAGAAGGAGACAATGCTCAGATCAAAATGCAAATTAAAATATTCTGAACTCAAGTCAAGTACACATTTTTAATATTTTGCGTGGAGTAAGGGCTACAAAAAAAGCCCACAAACCCAGTCAAACCTATATGCAACTAGGCAAGCAGTATCTTTCTGCACTTTACAGTAAATATCAACCTGCCATGAAATTACAAAACATGAATTTGCCCTTTCTAGCTTTTGTCCTGTTTGTAGCTAATGGCAAAGATCCATCACTTTGTATTTCATGCATGTAAACTCACAATGGATAAACTGCATCAGCCCATTGCTGTGGCCATTTGAAACCTGAAGATGCATTTCTTTCAGAAAACAGGTTTTGAAGATGTGAGGCCCTGTATGTATGATGGCAACAGCCTTCCAGAAATTCAAGCTAGTATGTTACTAGAACACATCAAGACCATCATCTGTCTACTGAGCCTTCTCATAGGAGAGCAGGTCAGGTTTAACATTTCTTGTCCTTTCTATACTTTAGGACAAGACCAGCACAGCTGCAGCTCACACAAGATCCCAGGATGAATTCCATAGAGAATAATGCCTCTAACAAAAAATTAAGTTTTCTAGTCATATTTATCTGTGTAGGAGATAAATCTTCCTGAGGGGTTACCCAAAATACAGACATCATTCATCTCAAGCTCCAGCAGTTTTTCCAAAGTTGTAATGTTTAGTATGAAGCATTTGCAAGTTGTAATTTGAACAGTATTTCCAGCATAACAAACACTCCAACTCAGAGGGATTAAGGAAAAAGTTATATTAAAAACTAGTGTATACTGTAAAATTCTGAATCTTGAATTAAAATACCCACTTCAAAATAATACAGCATTTAAAATGAAACATGCCACTATTTGCAAACCTAACATTAAGAGAGTAAAAATACTGCTAAATACTTGAAGTGGAAGGAAGGGGTGAATGGAGAAACTTTAAAATTAACCTCAAGGTGTAGTCCTAAATGTGCCTCACAGTTCATTTGATCTCACAGCGAGCTATTCACAAATTCTTTGAGTCAGTAATTTGAAATGACTGTTAGTCAACAGATTATGCAGAGACAAACATGTTATGACTTTGAATAAAAACCTTCCTACAAGTCTGAACAGACTACTTCCTCCCACAGGAGACAGCTTTTAATCCTCAACTTTTACTAGACTTGCCATTTAAGGAAAGATTCATTTACAGCTGTGGCTCTTGGCACAGACAGATGTTCAAAATAAACTATTACATGTACCAAACAGAATTTTAAATCAAATTTTTTTCCTCTAGTAGCTACTCCTACAAACCTGTTAAGAAAGGGATCAGAACTATTTGTAGTCATTGTTCTCAGTTCCTGAGACATTCCAGGAGATGACACGGGGTTTTGCGATCCACCGTCTTGTTCCATTGTTGGAAGCTGGCTACGGAGAGCCAATTCCTAGAACAGCAGGAGGGGGAAAAAGAGAGATCATGTTAGGCATTTGAATGCACTTTTCAGATACACAGATACATGACATTATAGATAATTGATGCTTTTACTGCTTCCAGTTACAAGAGTTAAATGAAATTAAGTTTCTGAGGACAAAGCAAGAATCTGTCCTGGCTTCAATGACAATGCAAGTTCCCCAAATCATGCCCAGCATTACAGAGACTGCACCAAAAATGTATTTATGGATACAAATATCTGTATATTTACATAAATATTTTCTAATTCATTTCAATATCTTTTCGCTAAGTATATTCTTAAGACCAAAAAAAGAATTGCTAATACTATCTGACCCCAAATATATGTCTGTCTACCTCTACTGATTAGCACTTTCCCCCTGTTTCTCTTAAATTCTGATTCACTCCCTAGTTTCCTTTGTACCTTTCTTGTTTCAAGTCTTCCCCATTCACTCTTCCTGTTTGAGGCCTGTATTTTGAAATTTCTGACTGATCAAATCTATTTGATTTGTCCCACAAATAAATCCCAAAGCTCTTTAAATCCCCAGTAATTTCTTCATAAAACTTAAGACACTGCTATTCTGAAGTTACAAACCTAGATTACATATACATTTTTACGCATCTGACTGTTCACCAGCTTGAATCAAACCATCCATAAAGCCTGTCATTAGTAATTAATGAAAATAAGTTTTAACATAAAATACATGAAATTAAAGGTGGATGGAAATAAGCAGCACTTTATGCAATTTCCAGTGATCCCTCTCCCCGTTTTTAAACAAGTAATCAATGAGTTAAACATGTGAAAGAAAAAATAATTTTCTTCAAGCAACTCTCCTAAAACATCATCAATGGCTCACCATGACTGAACTTTGTTAATGTAAAGACTGGTAAATAAATCTTTTGACTATCTTGTTACCATTATTAGTAGTATGTCATTTCCAGGTTGTGCCTGGAAAGATAACCTCAGGCAAAACCAATCTTGTCAGTCTTGACAATACTCAATATTTCTCACTTGTAAAGTGAAAGATCTTCATCCATTCTCAATGACAAGCCTAATACACTTTTAAAATATAAAAAATAACCTTTCTCCAATTCTTCTAGTGTTTTCTTTTAAAAAAAGTTTAAGGTTATTTTATTTTCCAGCAGACTGTGCTGGAATACTTCCCTCCTGCCTGTTTTTTTAACTTTTCTCATCTTCATATGCTTCACTCCCATTCCTGTGGATTATTATTACGTATCCCTTTAATACCAAGTTTTATGTCTTGCACTAGAAGATTTTCTTGCTACGCTTGATTAGGTCTTTGCAGAAAGTGTACAAACATATCACTGGTTTTTGTGTTCATCACATCCAACTTCCTACTTCAAGTAAATCCAGTCCCCTGTTTACCACCACTTACTTTGCCACTGTTCTAACAAATAGTAATAATACTCCTTCCTCATTTTCAGATCACATGATGCTAGGCACCTTTTAATAATTTATAAAGGTTTATCCATATAATTTTCATTTGTTTATGTACTAAACCCAAGTTGAAAGCCTATATAATGAGGTCTTACTTTACACCTAAGTATACAAACTTGTATCAGTCACGAATTACCTGATATACAGGTAGACTAAATCCATTTAGAAAAAAAACAAAAGGTTTTCGTTCCTGGAATGCTTCCCAAACAGTGATCTGAAGAAGGCAGAAGGTCTTAAAACAGCCATCCCAGAGATGGCTCACTCACATGCTTTGTCCTTTTCCCCTTCCTTCTTGGTTTGATCTGTACATTGCATCTTTATTTCCTTGAGCTACAGTCCCTGACTAGGATGAAGAGGAGGAGCCAAAACTGCAGAAGAAGCTTAATCATATACCAGTGCCAAAAAGAGTAGTAAAAAAGCAAAACCTACATGGACTCATTTTTGTATATGAAGCATGAAAGTGACATTGTATCTCATTGTGTGGTAGACCTGGTCTTTCCAATCAGCACTGCCTCCTGATTCAATAGTTGAGAGTGAGAAAAAGAGAGAAGAGGAAATCCACACATGTCCCCTTTTCAAGAGCTACTGACAACAGGAAAGAAAAAAGCCATAAAATTCTTTTCTGTTTACCACATTTCACTGAAGGCCCACTAAAAAGAGTTGTATTAAGCCAGGAGAGACAATTGTATTTTGCCTATTCTTTGGCATGTACAATGTAGTCCAACTAGTATTTTTAAAATTAGTACTACTTTTACCCTTGTTTCAACAACACTGCTAAAAATGCAAAACTACAACTATTTTTAACTATTTATAAGTAGCATTACTGATACTTATTTAGAAGTCAGAAGCACTTTCCCCTTGAAAGAATGTTATTACATTAGTCATTTAAGTAATACACTTATGTCATTCTGGAAGTCTGAAAGAGAAAGGAGTTACCCAAAAAGATGGACTACTCAGAAACAAATACAGAGCAATTTTAAATCATTATGTAAGATAAGCAGTTTCCTACAAGCCCTAAAGAGTCCATTAAGACTATTTTTCCTAAAAGGTCCACGTAATGGAAACTGAAGTTGTGTTGCTTGAAGAATGGTCTTTTCATTTCTCTGTCTTTATAAAACTGATTTGCAATAAAAAAAACTTATGCTTCCTAAATGTAAAAAAATGTATGAAAGGGTACAAGCCTCTCCCAGCTCCAAACAGAGCAATGTGAACTCTAGGCTTTTAGTTCATGCTTTAAAATATATCCTTTATTAGAAGTATTTAAAGTCTGGAGGCAAAAATAAAACCATGACAAAATCCTGGCTTAGATTTCTATAACCTGATCTCATCCTATTTTTGTAAGTATGTCAAACTTTTTTTAAGTACCTCTGGGAAAAGAAAAGATTAATACCTATTGGTAACACAAAAGCTGAATTTTTGTTATAACAAAAAGACCAAAATGATCTGTCATCTCCTTAAGTGATTTTAAAAATAAGGTCAGCTCTGTGTAGTTTATCTGGCTGACCTTATCCATGGTTTTTTTGTCATAATTGCATACAGATTAAATTTTACATGCAGTTCCAGGTCATTCACACCATGTATAAAGTAACTTTATAAAAATACCTTTTTCAGAGCATTTTTATCTTCATGTGCTTTTCAGGAAAGGCAGACGACTCCCTTGTGCAACTCACTTATCATATTCTTACTGTATCAAACATATGATACGCTACTCAATTTGAATTAATATATGCTTTTAATCGGTTTTATAAATTTACTTTAAGAGTGCCAATTGTAACATTTCTGCCCCTAACCACTGCTCCACTGCTTGACTATCAAATTATCCACAAGCTTCCCTGGCATGGGAGAGAAGTTTTAGGGGAAGGACAAGACCACAACACTTATGGACACACTTACAGCACCAGTTTCTTCCTCGTATTAACTGTCTGCATTCTTGTGATGGCCACAGAGTTACAGCACATATACAAAAGAAATAGGGAAGACACACAGACAGATGAAGACAAATGAACTCAGCAATGATGAGTTATGCAATTTGTGAAGAGTAAGGGGAAAACATACCATTCAGTGTTGCAACTGTGAAAATCAGCAAAATTAATTTAAGAGGTGATACTCACAGAGTGATAATTCTATTGTATACACCTAGAAAAGAACTCAACGCTATGTAGAGCATGACAAGGACAGATAGGGCAGCATAAAATGGAACAGACTTTTGTAATGGAAGTCTAGCTTCTTTGTCTGGTTTTGCAGTCCTTTGCTGTGCCCCTGCTTCATATTCCTCTTGAGGTATAAAGCCATTGCTTTATACCCTCTTAGTATCTATCTACTCCTGGCTCCACAGCACTACACCTGCCCTGCTGAAGTGTCTCAGAGCTCTGTAAGGAAGGTACCTGTCAGCAGGAGTAAGCAATCAGAAAGGCCATGCACAGCTGAATGGCCTCCCTCTACCGCTTATTATTCACAGCCATCTCATACTCAGTCAACAGGACTTGTATCTTTTGCTGCCCAATTGCTTTAGCAGTACTTCTGTGATTAAGTTTTGCAACTGCAAGCAGCACTGGTGATTACAAGAAACCCTCTGCAGAGAGCTACAACTCCTATGCAGACACAAAATGTGTCCTGAAGCAATGAGAGGCATTGGCAATGAAGGCAGTTCTGGTTTACTCTACAGACTTCAAGACAAGGTGTTTATCCATAAAGATCTACTTTCACAAGTAAGCAATATAATTATTTTGTTGATCTGTAAAGCTTAGGTGCTGCAAGTCCAATCAACAGCTTCTGAATTTTCAAATTACTAAAATAATACAAATATCTTTCCTACTGGGTATCTTCCAGCTAATGCTGCTCATCTGCTCCCACTTAAACCAACAGTGTGTGAAACTCAAACTCTTGCCACATGAACTAATAAAGTTTCACTCAGATCTGTGGTTTTCAATAACGAATGAAGCTACTCTACTATTTCAGGACCTGAATAACATTTAAAGCATTTAGTTCCCAAGATGGTTGAACAACAGCAATGTTGCTTTTGCAGTAAAACTAGCTGAATTCCACCTTTTGTATACTTTGATGGCAGCCAGCATACACTGCCCCCCAACAAATGCAGCCACACAGGACACCCTTTCAACAACTTAGTCTCAGTCTGCTTATTTATGTCCAATCATGTATTTAAAGCAGTACCTTAGTGCATGCTCATCAGAAATACCAGAAACTTCAACAATAATGTGGTCAAGGAACATCTCCATAATTTCTACAGGACATCACACTTCAAGCTGAAATCCTTTATGTTCTCACAAAACTTTCATATTTATTTCATAGTGTTTAGAAGCAGCAGAGTTTTTTAGTCAGTCAGAGGAAGATCTCGATTTCTTAATCACTGTGGGTCAACACAGTGGGCAACTCCAAGTGATTTTCTACTGATAGTTACAGATGGCCTTTGACTGCATATTCTTACCCTCCTTTCAGCTGGGAACTAGCATTTGTATGGCCATACACTAAGACAAATCAGAAAACAGATCAAGCTGAAAAATGTTTTTTTCTGACAG